GGGGAAGATGACAAAGTTCATTGTTGGAAAGACATTTGGGTAGGGGAAATACCTTTAAAAGATTAGTTTCCTAAATTCTTTGCCCTCTCTAGCCTTTAGAATGAAACCATCTCTAGTTTGGGTACACCCTCCTTTTCAGGTCTTAATTGGAACCTTGGTTTCAGAAGAGGTCTAAGGGAATGTGAGCGTAACTCTTTGACTGACCTGCTTGACATTTTGGAGTCAACCGTTATAGATCCCAATTTGGAAGATTCTATAACTTAGGCGCATTCACCAGATTGTTTATTTACTTGCTTTGCTTTTTTTAAGTTTCTTACATTACCTAGCTCTCAAGGGGTGGACTTTCCAGTCAACGAAATTTGGAGTAAGCCTATTCTACCTAAAATTCCAGCCTTCTATTGGGAAAATTTCCTTGGAAAGGTAAATACCTGCGATTTACTGTAGAAAAGAAGGCCCTCTTCTTGCCTCTCTCCTCATATGCGCTTTTTATGTAGGGATAGTGGATAGACCCTATCTCATTTATTAATTTCCTGCTCCTTTGTACATCATAATTGGGAGTTTTTCTGTTCTCTTTTTGGCTACAGGTGGGACCCCCCCCCAACTTAAGAGGTGGTGGATATTTTCAACCCAACTTTCTTGAGGCAACCAAAGAAGAGAGGAAGGGCATTGTGGAGATCTACTAAGGCAGCAGTTGTTTGGATGGTATGGGAGGAGAGGAATAACAGAATTTTTTCTACAAAGAAGTAGTCTCCGGATGAGGTGCTAGATAGTATTAAAGTGAAAGTAGCCTTTTGGGTAAAAAACCATGGACAGTTTCCACAACTTCTCAGTGTCTGACATTATAAGGAATATTTGGAGGGAAATAGCACACTCCACTAAGGAAAAAAAGAGATAGGAATGGAGTGGAAACCCCCAGTAGGTGCTTAAGTAAACTTGAACCTTGATAGGAACTCATTGGGCATCCCGGGGTCGACAGGAATCATAGTTGTCAAGGCATTGCCTAGGCGACTAGGTGCCCTTGGCTCGGTGCCTCGCCCAAACGCCTTGACTTTTAGCAACTATGTGCCCTTCTAGGCGACAAAAATGACAAGGCGGGTGCCTTTTATAATATCATTTATATTGCTGTATCTTATTAATGTATGTGTTAATGCATTTTATTATATGCTATATATATCGATTGTACTTTGTTTTAATGTTTTACTACTGAAATTTAAAAGATCAAAGGGTTTTGAGAAGAGAAAAAGAAAGAAAGAAAGAAAGAAAGAAAAGAAAGAATCAAATAATAAAATTCTTTTTTTTTATTCTCTCTCTAATTAAATAAAACAGAAACCCCATCCTTGTTTTTTTTCTATTTTACTTTCCATCTTGAATATTTATCATATAAAGTTAATAACCTTCTTTAGCTGCTAATTAATAAATTTGCTCTATTAAATACTTATTATAGTAGTATTATTTTTGAAAATAATGAAATTAATATATGTAAAAGATTTTTATCTTTTTAGATATGATGATTTGCCACATTTTTAGAGGAAATTTAATGTTCTTAAATAAAGAGAATTGCTATTTTTTCAATTAAGATACATGCTGAATGGTATATAAAACTAGGAAACTAGCCAAAAGTCAGATTTTTATATTATAAAATTTTTATTGCCTAGGCGACTAGGAGCCTCAGTGTCGCCCAGAATCGCCTAGACACCTTGAAAACTATGACAGGAATAGGAGGTGCAATTAGAAACTCGGAGAGTAGGATAGTGGCATTATATTCAGGGCCAATTAGCACTGCAAATTCGGTGAAGGCTGAACTTTTGGCACTACTACGGGGGATCAGGCTTGCAAAACAATTGGGCTTCAGACAAGTGGAGGTGGAAGGGGACTCAAAAGTCATTATCTCGTGGGCAAGATGCAATAGACATATCTCATGGACCCTCAAACATGTTTTCAGGGAAGTGGAAAAGATAAGAAATGGCCTAAATGCTGAATTCAAATGGGTTAGGAGTGCAAATGGGCTAGATGACACCCTAGCAAAACAAGGGGATGTAAGACAACATTTGTACTGGGCTTCTTTGTAAAATCAGATTATGTATTGTGAAGTCATTTTGTACTTACTCACTTACAATTAATGTAATATATTAATTTTTGCTGATAAAAAGAAGGATTTAGTCAAGATGGTGGATAAAGAAGTGGAAGTTGGATTTGTTCTTCTTAGATGGTTAAGAATTTGCTAGAGAGATGTTTATGGAGTTAGGAAAGAAAGATAGGACCCTTAAGAGACCAAGAAATTTCAGACCTTGTGGTCCTCATCCAAACCATCAAAGAAGTCTACATCTCCCCTCTTTCCCCTGACATCCGAGTGTGGACCATCCACCTAAAATGGTGAGTTCTCCTTTAAGTCTCTGTTTAAGGCTCTTTCAACAGCTGAACACAGCTCTTTCTTCCCCTTTAAGAAAATCTGGTGTAATCACATCCCTTGAGTTTTTTTTTTTGGTATGGGAGGCTTGTTTACAGAGAATAAATACCTGTGATCTCCTTCAGAAGAAAAGTTTGGGAAGACATTATATTTCCCCTCACGCCTACTGTCTGTGCCTACAAGATGGAGAAACAGATGATCACCTTCTTATCCATTGTAAAGTCACTCACAAGGTCTGGTTGCATTTCTTAAACCTGACAGGTTACCAATGGGTTAACCCAGAGCATATTCAAGACTTTATCCATCAGTGGCAGGGCTGTGGCCTGAGCAAAAGAGGCAAAGCCTACTGGCAAATGGTGATGCATGCCGTAATGTGGGATGTTTGGGAGGAAAGAAACAAGAGATTATTTGAAAACCAAAAATCAGAACTCTAGAAGAGTTAATTTCAGATATTACTCATCTCTGTAACTTTTGGGCTGCTAATGCAGAATTCCAAGGTCTCTCAATTAATGACCTTAACAGAAACTTACAAACTATTCTTTTCCTCCCTCATCCTACTCAGACTTCCTTAAGACACCTAGCAGTCTTCTTTGAAGGAGGGACACTTTTACAATTTGATGGGAGTGCAGCAGGCAATCCAGGCCCAGCTGGAATTGGGGGTATATTAAGGCATGGAAGAGGTAATATTTGCTGGGTTTTCAGTGGCCCAATCGGATTCACTGGCTCAACCAAGGCTGAAGTGTTGGCTGCTCTCACTGGAATCAGAATTGCTAAAAGCTTGGGTATTCATAACCTCTCCATTGCAGGGGATTCAGCAAATACCATGAAATAGATAAGGGATAAGGAAGGGGGACCTTGGAGGTTAAGCCATTATTTGGCAGAAGCAAGGGACTCGCTGAACAGCTTAAATGAAAACCTATTTTGGATCCCAAGGGAGCATAATCCTATTGCAGATGGCTTAGCTAAATTGGGTGCCTGTTTGGAAGATCTGCATAATCCCTGCTTTGTACATCACCTCATGTGCTTCCTCCTTTTTTAATGAAATCTGGTTAAACTTTTCTCAAAAAAAAAAAAAAAGAAAAAAGGAAAAAGAAAGATCATCACTAGCACATGTTGGTTTGAAAGAGAAATAAGGTTCTACTGGAATATTGTTTAGGGAATGAGGGGGGAGGAGTATAGGTGGATCTTGTGGTCATTAGTTTTTATAACTGTTAAGTGGTTCAAAGGAGGGGTTAGTGCTTGAGATTGTAGGGGCTTGGTTGTAGGGTGGTTAGCTATGATACCAGTTACCTGTACAAGGGGCCGTATCATGTTGAATACTTAAAGTTTTTAGTGTAAATTTCATATCTAATACTATATCCAGTTATGTCCTTGCTGTATCTGGGTAATATAGGGGTGTGTGGATATATGCATGGGGGTTTTCTGTAGTGACATTACAGTTTTTTGGCTCAGGTTGTTGGAGGCTTTTTCTTTTTTTCTTTTTTTTTTTCTTTTTTTCTGTGTTAGAGAGGGAGGGAGGGATTTAGGAAGTAGGATAGGGTATTTTCTTTTCGGGAGTGTGATATTTATTTTGGATAGATTTCTGGTATGGGTTAAGATGGTTTAATCACATGCATTGAAGACCACCTATACTCATGTGAAGTGATCTTTTTACAATTTGAAGCGGCTAGAAGGTCTAGGGGCAGACCAAAAAGGACATAGGTCGGAGTAGTAAGAAATGATTTAAGTGCCCATAATTTTACAAGGGATATGGCATTAAACAGAACAAAATGGCAAAATAGGATTCATGTAGCCGACCCCATGTAGTTGGGATAAGGCTTAGATGATGATGATGATGATAATATCAACAGTGGGACCTGTTGGATCAAATATAACAAATCCAAGCAGAATAGCTTCTCCATCAAATCAAAAGTTCTCTTCTCCATGGCAGATTAGCAAAAGCCTGTCTTCACCTTGCCACCAGCTGACTGATCACTTCTATTTTTTCCCGTCAACATTCCTTCTCTATTTCCCCTCAAAAAACCAGAAATGATTGAAAAAATTTGCAAGGTTAAATGAAGGTGTAGATAACAAATGGAAAAGCATTTTTGTGATCTTGCTAGTTTTGGTATTTCAAGAGGATCTTGGCATAGATTGTTTTTCTTTTCTAAAGGTTTGAGATTGTAATCGTGGAATAATGAAATTGCCTTTCAATTTTGAATTCAATAACTTATTTCATATGATGTAATCTTTTTTGTTTTTTTTTGTCTTTTTTTTTTGCTTTTTTTCTGTTCTCATTGTGACAAGGCTACAACTGTTGTTGAACCGAGGCTCTTTATTTTGTTGCAGCTCTGATACTTCATTCCCTTTCTTCATCTAAGAGTACTGTTGCTATACTTATTCAATATATTTTTTTAGATTAATATCAGTGTTTGTTGTTTTCTTTCATATTTTATTTTTATTGTTCTCAAATTGCAAAATACAATGATATCTGTATTTGTTTTTGGAAACAAATCTAAGAATTAGGTTCTCAGTTTGAACTGATAACTATGAAAAGATCATTTTTATCAGTAACTTTACAATTTTATTTATTTATTGACAGAAGGTAAATTATATATGTAGTAGATGCCAATAAGCACAGTATAGGGTGGAGGGACCACTCCTATACAGTGAGGATCCGTACAGCTGATAATCTTCTCAGAATTACTTACAAAAAGGAACCAAAAGAATTGAAAACAATTCCTGGGGTCTAAGTGTGCATGGGGGGAATTCTGAATTCTGAAAGCTGCTGCGAATTGAGCCCTGTGAAATAATCTTAGCTAGGTATTCATTACAACTTCATCTGTTTGAGAGTAGGAGTTATAAAAAATTCTTCTGTTTCTATCCACACTGTCTAAAATATAGCACTGGGAATCAGCTGCCAGATCACTTTGCCTTTATGGTTCAGCCTGCCTATTTTCCAGCTAGACAAGGTCTCCAAAATTGTTTAGGGAAGACCCAGTTGATGTTGGGAGTGTTCAGAATGCTGGTCCGAATCTTGTGGTTCATGGGGCAATGTACAAAAGGGATATGATCCTCATTACAAATACTGTCTGTTTGCACTTTCTCTTGCAAGTAAATCAGCTAGAGTATTTGCAGACATTGGAATCCAAGTGAATGAAGCATGTAAGTTTCTACTGATTTTCCTAAATTGGCTGTGTAATTTCGTTTCCTATTCCATTTAGTGTGTATGGAATTGATATTGCTCATTCTTTTGAAGTAGTTATTACTGTAACTATGCCAAATTTCTACATACTTGGTTTTCATTCTAATTTAAGTAAATGAAAAACTAAAATAAATCAGCTAGAGTGTTTGCAGACATTGGCATCCAAGTGAATGGAGCATGTAGATTCTACTGATTTTCCTAAATTGGTTTTGTATTTTTGTTTCCTATGCCATTCAGTGTGTATGGAATTGATATTGCTCATTCTTTTAAAGTAGTTATCTCTGCTACTATGCCAAATTTCTACATACTTGGATTTCATTCTAATTTAAATAAATGGAAAACTAAAATAAATTCAATACTAGTTTTGATTTGCTTAGATGAAGATGCATTTCAGAATTTTCTTCGTTTAACTATTTTGGATGTTTCATTCAACTATTTTCTTCATTCTTTTGGATGTTTTTGGTTCTTATCTGCCTTGTTGCAATTAGCTTTTCCTGAGTTGAAGTGAAATGTTTGAAATAGTTGTTAGGATCCCAAGACATGCAATAAATGGTCACTGAGGGGAAATTTAATGAGAAAAAACTGCAACACCAAAAGATAGAACCCTATATAATATTCTAGAAGCGCATACTTTATCCAAACTTGATCGAGTTACTACAATTTGAAGCAGCTTCATCTTACACTAGGATTTATAGTGTGGCTCCCATCTCAAAGTACTAGTTACTAGCTGTTTCATCACAGGATAGAAAGGCTTGGCTCATGGCTCATGGCTCATGGCTCATGTTTGGCATGACCAGGCTAAGTCAGTTTGTTGATGATCCAATAAACATGATTGGGATGGTAATTGTGGACTAGTGGGTTCACTATTCAATGGGTTGGAATGGTTTAGTCTATGGTGTTAGATTCTGCCATAAATTAATGAATATGAATATGAATGAGATAAAGGTAATTATAGATGTTGTGCATCCTTATTATTGGCTGAATATACTTGAACCTTCCTTCCCTTATTGATTAGTATGGTAATTGGTTCTCCTTGTAAATTTATATTAGGCTTTTATTTTCATAAGTAATTGATCACATTTAATGCTAGTTTTGAACTTTTTATAATGTTTGAAATTGTTCAGACCAGAAAAGGGATAAGAATGTTCAAATTAACTTTTTGTCACTACAACAACATTGGCATGCAGCGCCAGGTTTCTTACCGGTACAAGAGAAAATGTCACTGTATGATCTGTTTTGAGTGGCATTTGTTCCAAATCACTACTAGAAGCCATGTGTGTTTATTGTGGTGGCCATGTATTTGCTACTATAGACAAATTTTATAAAGATTCTACTTTGAGAGAAGGGATTAAATAAAAAATGAATGGTAAAGATTGAATAAAAAGAAAAAACAAAACCAGTCTTCTCTCATGTGCTCAAAACACCATTCATTTTCCCTTCTCTCTTTAGCACGTGAAGAAGTCTTCTTCTTCTCTCCTTCATTTTCCCTTGAGCTATCTCTGTTTTTCATTCAGGTATGGACCCATCTCCGTTCTTCTCCTTCTTCTTCTTACTAACTTATCATGTATTCCAGGCAACCGGATGAACTGAGAGTCAATTTGAGAGTTTTTTTTTTTGTTTTGTTTTTCACCCTTCCAATCGAGCAAGCAAGTTAATAAGTAACACTTCTACTTTTCACTTTCCATGTTTTACCATTTCAAATGAGTGAACCCAGATCAGAGTCGATTCGAGAGTGTTTTTTTTTCTCCAGAATTGATTTTCACTTTCTGTCTAAATATTTCAGTATGTTTTGCAGGGAATTCGAACTTCTTTGCCCCATTTCAAATGAGCAAAACCCTACATTTTTCCTCTGCTATGCCCAGCTCTGAGTCTGTCTATTTTCTCAACAGGTATGGGCCATATTCTTATTTAAGTTTCATTGTGGATTTAGGTTTTGGGGTTCTACATGATCTTCTCAATTTATTTTGGATTTTAAGAGGAAAGGAGTGAACTCACTCCAAATTTAGCTAAATCTCCCTTGGCTAGTTTATTTGGCTTTCAGTTTAGCTGCACTAGTTTGTTCCTAGATGTTCCTTAATGGTTGTAAATTTTAGATAAACTCCGGTTGGGTTTTGCTTTTCTATACAGTTATAAGGAAATCTTAGAACCCTTCTGTAATCTGTTATGCCTAACTTGTGGTGTAAATTGAGAAATGCATTTTTGAATGAATGATTTGTTGTAGGGTTTGGTAGATCTTGTTCATTGTTTTAAGGGTTGGGAGTTTGAAGATTGTTATGTAGGGAAATTAAACATGGAAAACATACGATGATAAAAATCCTCTAACCAATCTTATTCTTCATCTGGGACCATTATTAGGTAAAGATGTGCTTTTATTCTTAACAGTTTTCTTATTTTCCTTGTTTAGACAGATTGTTTGATTTTGGATGTTATTTTTCTTAACAATATTATGAGATAGATTAAACCTCTTAATTTTCACAAGGGTGCATTTTTTCCCATATAAATGGGAAGAAAAAACAAGTTTGGCCACAAAAGGGCCAAAGTTGTTACCGAAATTTTACAGCTCAAAACCTTTTCAACCCCCTTGTTTTATAGACTGAAAAATTTCCACTCCTACTGTATGAAAAGACCAGACGTGAGGTTACATTTCTTCTGGGTTTCCAGAATTTCTTGGAAAGGGCTTGACATGGTGCTTTTATTAGATAGAGGCACAGAGCACAAGAGTCATGTACTGGAATGTTTTTATGGAAAAACAAAGAGAAGGGATTTGGTATCCTTGTTATTGTTTGGCAAGTTAATTATATAGGATTGTTAGGTTGTATGGGTATTCCTGTAAGTTACCAAAAAAAAAAAGAGCATACTGGTGTATAAGTATTTTCCAAAATAGAGCTCTGATTAGGATTCTACACCATTTTCCCCAACAGTTATTTGTGTGTCTTCTTATCTGTTTGCCTTATCTATGGGGAAGAAGCTCATCTTTTGATATAGCTTTATTTCAAGGCTGCATTCCTTGTAAGAATATTCTTTTTCCCTTCAGAAAATTTGGAAATAAGCCAAATGCTCTCCATATTTAAAGAACTCTGGTTCCACCTCAGTTCGTCTTGCCAACCCTTGACTGATACTCTTTAAACTGGTTGGATGCAGTAAAAGTAGCAAGCCTATGAACCAATTTATTGACCCGTCAGGCTTTATCTCTAATTCTAACTGGAATCTGTTGGATAGTTGAATAAGGGGTTTACTTGTTTGTAAGGCTTTATCTCCATATTTAAATGCTTGTTTTCTAGTCTCTTAGCGTTTTCTTTTGGAGTGTCCATGATTTAGATTTAGTTCTCTATTTAAATGTTTGCATTTCACAACCTAATCATTGAAGGTGACTCCAAGATAATTATTGGCTGGCTGGAAAAATAAGAGAATGGTTTATGGGAATATGCAAATTAAAAAAAGTTCAAATGGCTATGATATGGTAGTAAGACTTCAGTGGGTCAAAAGGAGCGCTAACTCCTTTGCAGATGCCTTAGCTAATCAGGGGGTGGGAAGGGCTCAATCCTTGTTGGCTTGCTTGTAATTGTCTATGTTTTTGTTTCTGTTGTCCTTGGGGAGGGTTAAGAGAGCATACCCCTCCCCTTGGAGGCTGTAATTATTGCTTTTGAATCTATTAATAAATTTTCTGTTACTGATAAAAAAATTAAATGTTCAAATTCATATGCTCATTAATGACCTAGTTGAATGTGTTCTTTAGTTGGGTCACTGGAGGTACTGTTAACACCTCACTTTTGAGCTAAAGCAACCTAGTTAGAGCTTAGTGTAGTTTACACTGCTAAGTGAACTTAGGAGTGTAGAAATGAGCCAATGGATAGATACTAGGGGACTGGTGACCACACCATCTTATCTTTCCAGAATCTCACCCCCTCCTATTACCTACCTCAAAATAAATGTTTAGCTCGAAATTAATCATGTTATTGATTGAGTATTCTATGTTCTGAAGTTGGATTTGACCCATAATTGTGCACCTGGCTCCCATATTTGTTAGCTATAACTTTTTCATGTTTTATTCTTTTCCACATCTCCCATATTCTATGTTCTGAAGTTGGATTTGGCATCTCTTCATCCAGAACTGCAAACTTTACTCACAAGATGTAAAGTAGCCCACAAATGTGACTCGTTTTTCTTATTGTTTCACACTTAATGTGGATTCCTTGATTTGAAAGATTTTTTCCTATCAAAGGAACCAAAACCACTAAGTGGGTCATAACCCTAGTGAATAATTGGGATTAACCAATTGTCAATTTTTAGGATGCATCAACCAGTCCAACATGAAGCCACTACCGAAAGGTCAAACTCCCTTCACATATACATTTTCCTTGTGAATAGTGAATGGACATAATATCAAATTCTTGTATTCAATATTAGCAAATACTTAGTCTACTCTTTGAAGGGTTGTAATTTTTCTCAGTAATATTAAATAAATAACTATTTGGAACTCTCTCCTTAAGACTGATTTTTTCTTCTTGCATTGACATTCTGTGGGTTTCTCATTATTCTTTATGCTTTGTACATATATGTGAATCTAAGCTTAAATCAGTGTATTTGGCTGCCCTTCTATAGGAGTTAAAGAGGGAGAGATTATTGTTTTCACATCTCTATAGAGTCGACTCACAGGCTTAGTAACTTGTTGAATGCTTTTAGTGATATATAATTAAATGAATGTTCAGGGCTTCAATGTCAATCCATGCGAAGTTATGAAATGCACTTGCAGAAAAATAGGAAATTGTCAAGTGTGATCCAGTTTATTTGCATTAAGTTGCACTTTGCACACAGGCATGATCAATTCTCATCATCTTACTGGTTCAAATTAGGAGATATAGATGCCAATTAATGCCATCAAATGATGTTAAGGGCCATTGATCTGGATCTGATCTTAATAAGCTGGATTCCAGCTCTAAATGGTAGACCCATTTAGGGGTGTCAACAGATCGGGTTTGGTTTGGATGCCGTCCAAATCAAAATCAATTTGAATGGGTTGGATGGAACAATATGACATATTGAATTGGACCATCCAGACTTATCCAAATTAAGTATTTATTAGATTGGATTTGACCTGCCGACCTGGTCCTTCCGTAATGAATTTATATTGGATTGGGTTTGATTGAACCAATATCCGGTCCATTAACATAATATAAGAGTAGGTGTCAATAGACCAGGTTTAGATTGGACCCGTTCTAAATTAAAACCAATTTGAGCAGATTGGACGGTCCAGACATTGAATTGGACCAATCCAGAATGGTTCAAAGTATTCATCAGATTGGACTAGACCTGGCCATTTGTAATAGACTCATACTGGACTAGGTTTGGTTGGACCAATATCCGGTCCATTGACAGCCCCAGACCCATTTATAATTGGATATAAATAATCTGATCCATTTTGACAGGGCATAGTTGAATATATTTGCTAATATGCATAGTAGATAAAGATTTAGTAACACGATAGCATCCATTCTTTGGGTGTTCTGTTTTGGAAGACACTTTTATTGAACCTTATTAAGGATATCTTTCTTTGACCATATTTGAAATGGATCTAATATGTTAAATGTGTAACCAAATTGAACTTTGACATTACCCCTTTCTAATCACTAGCTCTAGTTCTCTATTTAAATGTTTGAATTCATATGCCCATCAATGACATAGCTGAACGTGTTCTTTAGTTGGGTCAATGGAGGTACTGTTAATACTTCATTTTGAGCTAAAGCAACCTGGCTAGATTCTAATAACATGATTAGAGGCTGGAGAGTTGGAAGGGAGGAAGTGGTGGTTACACATCTATAGTTTGCAGATGATATTATTTTGTTTTGTGATGGGAAAGCAGAAGAGCTTGTGAATTTAAAAAGGATAGTGCATAATTTTGAGAGGCTCTCCAACTTTAGAGTTGTGTGGTAGGGGTAAATTTAGGGAGTGAAGAAGTGGATATTCTAGCGAGAATCTTGGGGTGTGAGGTGGGGGAATGGCCATTACAATACTTGGGACTACCACTATCAGGGAAATGGTTATGGAGGTGACCGTTGGAACATGATAAACTATGGCATAGAGTGATTGGCAGCCATGGATTGGCAAACAATGGTTGGGATACGGTAGTTGACTCTAAGGCTTCTCGATTTTCTCCCAGAAATGCTATTCATGGTATTTTACCTCCATCATTCCTTGCTTTAAACTTGATGCTTGTGCAAGAAACAAAGTGTTGTTTTGGGAAGATGTTTGGGTTGGAGAGATTCCTCTTAGTCATAGGTTCCCTTCTATTTTTTTCACTGTTAGAATATAAAAGAAAAGTGATCTCTTCAGTTTTTATTGATAATTCCTGGGACTTGGGATCGAGGAGAGGACTAAAGGAGTTAGAAATAGCAATGGTGGATGAATTAGTTACCCTTTTAGGGTTGAGCTTTTTGGATCAGCCTTGTGTGGATGGTAGAATTTCAAAACCTTCCTCGTCTGGTGTTTTCACTTGTTCCTTTTCTTTAATGTCCTTCAATCAAATAACTTTGTAAGGAACTTTCCATCAAAGGAGGTAGGGTGTAGCCCTGTACCTCCAAAAATTCAGGCTTTTTGCTAGGAGGTGGTTCTTAAAAAAAATCAATACTCTGGATGTGTTATAAAGAAAAAGGCCAAATTTCTGCCTTTCACCCCATGTTCGTAGCCTTTGTTTGGGTTCTGGTGAGACAATCATACACCTATTAATATTTTTTCCTTTTGTGCACATTATTAGGTCTTTGTTCTCTTCTCTCTTTGGTTGCAAGTGGACACCTCCCTTGAATGTGGACACCTCCTTTTGGGTGCAAGTGGACACCTCCTTTTGGGTCTTTGACCCAAGCTTTTTTCAGGCAACCAAAGAGGCAGTAGATTTTTGTGGAGAGCCATAAGTGCAGCTATACTTTGGTCCATTTGGGAAGAAACAACAAGATCTTTAAAGGAGTGGAGAAATCCAAGGAGGAAATTGTTGAAAGATTAACCATTGTGACTATCCACTGGTTGAAAACTCTAGATTTGTCTAAAGATTTCTTAGTTGAGGACATATTTAGGAATTGGGAAGTGGTGGCAACTACAACATCCATAAAACCTATTGTGCAGGAACTGTGGTTCCCACCAACACAACAAAGAATAAAGTTGAACTTTGATGGGAGCTCTAGAGGCAACCCGAGGCCTTCAAGTATAGGGGGGAGTATTCAAAGATGGAGATGGGAGAATTGTTGCTATGTTTTTTGGGCCAATAGGGGTGGGGGACTTGGGGGTGCAAATGGATCGGATCATGATTCGATCCAATCCTATTTGGTCGAATTCAGATCACCCTTGTTCAGATCTTCTGATTAGATAATATGATCCGATTAGAAATTGGATCGGATTCGAATTACCCCCATCCGATCTGAGAAGATTCAATCTGACATATATTATATATTTATAAATATAAATATAAAACACACAGATGTTATTTATTTATAAATATATTTTTATTAATTCGTTATATTATTTATTTATTTATAAAAACATGTATATATAGGATGAAAATAATTAAAAATACTTGTATTTTTTGTTTTTACTTTATTTAAATTAATATATTTTATTTTTGTTTTAACAATTTATTATTTTTTAAAGAAAACAAGTCAGATGTGAAGATTCGACTTATCAATAGGATTTGAATTCAAATCAAGTCCTATCAGATCCAATCGGATCTTTGGATCGGAGATCCAACGTGAACAGTGTCGAATCGGATTCGAATATACCCTGATTTGAATCCGCTCCGATCCGTTTGTATCCCTAGGGGGACTCACTGAGAGCGGAGGTGATGTCTTTGCTTCAAGGTGTAAAATATGCCAAACAATTGGGGTTACACCAAGTTGAGATAGAAGGAGATGTAAATTGTTAATGGACTGGTTGCAATCAGGCAAGTTGGGAGCATGGATGTATCGACAACTCATGTGGGAAATTCTCAATTGGGGTACAGYAAGTTGAGATAGAAGGAGACTGTAAATTGTTAATGGACTGGTTGCAATCAGGCAAGTTGGGAGCATGGATGTATCGACAACTCATGTRGGAAATTCTCAATATAACAAGGGATGTTGGTGCATGCTTCAAGTGGATAAGAAGATCAACTAATGGTTTGGCTGATACCTTAGCCAACACAAGGGACAGTGAGGAAAAGTTTGTTATAGGCAGTTCTGTCATTCAAATTACTTGGGCTTAGCACTTATTTTAGTGGTTGATAATTGTGTTTTAATTTTGTTATCGTTTCCAGTAAAAAAACAACCTAGCTAGAGCTTATTGTAGTTTACACTGCTAAGTCAGTGTAGAAATGACCCAATGGATATGTATCATATATGGGCTCCAACTCAATGTTAGAAAAGAAACCTCTATTGGTTTCCAACCCTTGTAAAATAATAAAACCTAGACTTCAATCACCACACATACAACATGGATGGACATACACACTACTAGGCCCTACTTTGAAACCCTTTAAAGCATGCTTGCTTAAGATAAAATCTGATTACCATGTGAATTTTGTTTAATTATTTTTTGGCTTCGATAGATTAGTATCTCCCTGCCCACACCTATTTCAATTTCCATTCACTTATCGATAGGTTTCTTACTAGATGGCGTCCTTCATTGACCCTTTGGCAAAGCTTCGGCTAGACAAACCCTTTGTCTTCCCTTGCATCCATTAAGATCTTTGCATTGTTGTCGTTGAAGCCAAAAGACGCTCTCGTGGTGTAGTATCTATCTTCCTTCTCTGGTGAAGAGGACGTCCTATTCTCGCTTGCACTCGATAGAAGCCTTGCCAAATTTGTGTTCCCAAAACCAATGAGAACCATGAAAAGGAGAGAAAAAGATCAGTTTCATTTCTCTCTCTTGATTTTGATTTTTGACACCTTCTGTCACCTTTTTCTTAAAATTCCTTTTTGGGTTTTCTTGTGCACTAACGAGACGGAGATGGAGATGGAGCGGACTTAGAATTGGGTTTTCATTATCATTGACAGTTTGGCACTATAACCATAAAGGGTATTTTAGAAAATTTCAAAGAATATCAGTTACGTGATGTCACATGTGAACGAAGTGTGACGGAAAGTTAATGACAATGGATGTTTTAGACCATTGTCAGAAAACTTGGGGGGTACTTTAAGACAATATGTAAACAGTAAGGATAGAGAGTCAATTTCCTAAACCATAGAGGTACTTTCAGAAATTTGCCCTTACCTTAAATCTTCAAGATATTTTGTAGAACTTAAGCCATTGATGAATGAATGAATAAAATAATGAAGTATTTCCTGTATTTTGTGTTTTGGTGTTGATTTCTAAGGAAACCTAATGGTATTGACTTCACTAGGCTTTACCCTTAGATGACAACATGTATTCCATGTAGTGAATTGGGTGATGCACGAGGGCTATAATACTTTCAGCTATATAGGAAGAACACAACAAGAGAATATTCAACAATAAATGCTATTCCAAGGAAGCTTTAATGAATTATAGACCAAATATTAGAAATCATATGATCCTATCTACAATGGTTTTGGAAACTAGCTAGAGCTATGGCCTATGGGCAATACCGTGCTTCATTCTTGATTGAATTTATGGTTAAAGTTACCTAATTTGAATTAGATGCCCAATTAATTAAATATTTAGGTTTGAAGTTACCTATAAGTTTGAATCTAAAAATAGATTTAGTATACTATAAGATTCTACCCCTATAATTTTAACTTGATAAATTGAAACGAGTGTGAGAAAATTGAACAAATTAAAAATCAAAGAAGACAAAACCTCACAATTGAAATATGAAAAAAAAAACACCTTAAACAAAAGAGATAAAATGATTGAACTTCAATAGCTAAGATCCAAAATGTTGCCTTAACTCGATTTTGAGGGATGAGGAACATGTATATATATATATATATATCGAGTTTAAGATATGTTAGTAAATGAAACATGGGATGAAGAGTTAAGGCTTAACCCTTAGTAAAATTTCAGATCTATTAATATGTAAAACGTTTGGCTATTATATTTTGGTTTGCTCAGATCTAATTTCTGACTCTTTATTGATCTAAGTAGGATTTTTATTATGGGATTTTATCTGC